GGCTGTGGGGGCGGGGTTGCCTTGGCGATGTGGTTGTAGATTTGTGCAAATAGATGCGCCCTGCGACCCCGATGATCCTTGCTGAGCTTTCGTTCGTCATTTGACGGACATCGTCGCAGCAGGACATCATGCTTCACAATAATTCACCAAAAACACGAAGGCAAGAAAGGTGGCCGGTTTCAAACCTATTTCCTTCTTATATTCCCATCACATGACGGACGAAAGCTTAGGACCTATTCGCACAAATCTACAACCACAGCGCCAAGGCAACCCCTCTACAGCCTCCGATGGAGCCAACTTACAAATATTTTCCGCTCGCCTCTTCAAACGAAATGAAAGGTACTCTAACATGAGGGATTATTCAAAACCCAGTTTTTCTATACACTCAGCAAGTTTATAGATAGGCCAAAACAAAAAATAATACTGCATAAATGGTTGTCAAAGTTGGTGTTCTTTTGTAAACTGTTTAATTTCAACTTTGGGCAGCCTTGCAGACGGACATGATTGACCTCAGTCCCCACCATGCGCTTTCTTTGAAACTGTATCTTATCTAATCTGGGTTTTAACATACTGACGGCGTATTATGACGTTAATCATACGCACTTTCCCATACAGGCCTTCTGGACCCTTGGCCCTCCAGACAGCTTTCCTCATTGTCATGAGGCCGTGCACTGTGCCTCGCTTACGTCTTGCTAGTTTGCTTCTTCTGCTGGTGACTAGCTCGCTCCTTTGGCTCAGTTTGACGCACAAATCGGTCTTCTGGAACTCTGCTCTACTCCCTTCACACGAAGGACATCATCTGGCCGTGATAGTCCCCCTGAGAGGCCGGTTCGACCAACTACGTGTCTTTGTGCCTCATCTGAGTCGCTTTCTGATAAATCAATCCGTCTCCTTCACTGTCTACATCGTCAATCAGATCGACCATTATCGGTAGACAGTTTTATGTTGTCTGCTGAGTGTAGAACTTGGTGCGATCCTAGACAATACAAATTATCTTTCTAGCAGGTCCTTCATTTCGATCCTCATACCGCACTAGAATTTCCTGATTCGGAACCTCTAAATTTGCTTATCTAAGCTGATATTAATGGACGTCTTGTTCAATGTCCATGATCAAATTTGTTGTCTCATGCCATGACTCTTTTTGTCTTCGCGCGTTATTTTTAATAAAATATGCAAACTGGTAAGGTGGTTAGGAATAAAAAGGTGTTTTAAGGAAATCATTACACTTTCGTCGGTTATTCTCACTGTTAGAGATAAATTTGATCCATTATCCATACCATGTTGATGTGAAATGGTGTGCTCTTAGGGTTACTTTTATGTTAGAGGCTTATCCTATTTAACAAAGGGTGGCTATACACAAAAGTGCTTGAACCTGTTGGATTAAACGATACTAGGTGGCGTAAGACATGGCAGAAGTTAAGCATGAGAGAGAATAATCTCAAACGCGTCGTCTTGCTTATTCTGATTTGTCGGCAACTTAGCGCAAAAGTAAGGCCATCAGAATCAACAAATTATGAAATAAATTGAATTACTGAGCGCACTTCCATCGTTAGCTATACCGGAACATTCTGGTTGACGCTGTTTCTGAAGCAATCTCCTTCAATTTCAGGAAAGGCTTGCTAAGCTTCCCTCCCTTATATCGGTATCATTCCTTCAACCACTTAAACTAACGAAGCAAAAAGAATGCTTATATAATGACAACTGGCCTAGAGGAATCAGAACTTGTCTTTGTGCATGAATCGTTTCAACCCACACCTTCACTTGAAATGGAATTAAGTTCAACAATTCTAGACCAAGAGGTTGCTCTAAACCTACATTTGTTAGCAAATACAATGAATATCATAAATACCGGTAACTATTGTTAAGCTTACTTCCATTTCGAGTGAAGGGGTTAAGTGAAGAGATGCGAAGGTTGATTTCACCAGAAGATGACAGCGGATTCCTCTTGACCCACTGCCGATTGGTTATACTGGAACATTGACGTTGACGCTGTTTCCGGGGCAATCGCCTTTGATTACAGTGAAAATGTGCTAAACTTTCGTCCGTCGTATGACTAACATCTTCAGAGTTAGGTATCATCCTTACAACCAAATTCAAGCTAACGATTCAAGAAAACTCACTGGCTCATCCCTAAAAAGATGTCTCATGGTCAAGCCTTTGCTACATGGACCACGGCTATGGTAAAACAGATCTACTGTCAGCCAATTAGCTCCAGTCTCCGCCGCGTCTATCCTTTTTCTATCCGTAATACCAAGTCTTTGACTTGCTATGCCCTAGTCTCTTGTGTGCCAGCCCACAAATGTTGTGGTTCAACATTGAACCTAATCAAAGTAAGCAGTACCACAACATTTGTGGTTTGGAATACAAGATACTAGGGCATATGAACTTTTTTCGGCAGCGTGACGGGCTTTTCATACCCTCTCTTAATCTCTTGCATAAATGTAAGTTTTTCAATCATGTATTTACATCCTTTAAATATTGTCATCTCTCTCGTTAGATGCTTTTATGCTTCACCATATGCAAGTTGCTAAATAATGCACTCTTGCCTGCGCGCAAAGCAATTCAGTAATCACTCTTCATACTGGTATTAGGGATAGAAACGGGGCGGAGACTAGATCTAGCTGGCAAAGGCTTGATCAGGAGACTTATTCTGGGGCTTTAGCCCCGAATTAGTCACCCAGACGCAGGGGAGGGGTAATAACGCCTCGAGTAGGACATATGGGGTGGCAGGGGTCGAGTGAAATACGTAAACCAGGGGGAGGGCAGACGGATCCTACGGGGCAAGAGGAGAAAAAGAAAAAATATAGTGATAGTAAGAGCGTGATACGATGATATAAAATAGGTGAATGGTCCAGAACAGGAGAGGTAAAACAACTGTTTAGAACAGATTTGGTCAAAGAATCGGCTATAGTTGTCTCTTTGTAGAGTTGTGTGGTACTAAGCATGCCAAGACTCACTGACGATGCAGACGAAGCGTCTGGGAATGTACCACGTCCACGATCCTACTCTGGAAATGATCATGCATACAATGTATTCCGGACTAGGTGTTTTCCTCTAAGTTGTCCTGCCAATATGACCAAGTTGCGAAAACAAAGTCAAACAACTTCTATACAACGAAAGGAGACTGCGACC